AAGTGGATGCCGTACGTCAACTACCGACGCAGGCGCCAGTGGGTCGATGCCGATGCCCAGCCAGAGCTGGAGCCGAAAGGTGACCTGCACCCCCGAAAAGTCATGTTGTGCATTTGGTGGGACGTGCAAGGCGTGATCAACTTCGGGCTGCTCCCACCCGATACCAGCATCACCGCCGCCTACTACTGCGATCGGCTGCAGAAGCTCGCCGACAGACTCCGCACGGTGAGGCCAGGGCACCGTCATGTTCGATTCCTGCAGACAACGCAAGGTCGCATGTCGCGAAGATCACACGGCAGAAACTGCTGGATCTGGGCTGGGAGGTTCTGCCTCACCCTCCGTATAGCCCAGATCTAGCGCCAACCGACTACCATCTCTTCCGCGCTCTGGACAACCGTCTTCCCCAGAAAAGGTTCAACGATGACGCCGAGGTCGAAAACCGGCTGACTGATTTTTTCGACTCACAGCCAGCTCAGTTCTACAGGGATGGAATCAGGAATCTGCCTGATCGTTGGCTTTCTGCCAACGATCAGGCAGACTCCTGTCGATTGACTCCAGGCGATTGACTGTGATGGCGATTACTTCGTTGAATGAATTTTTTGCTTTTTTAAAAAACTCGGTTGTATGGAATGTTCTCGAAACGGCCAGAACTTTCCGATCGACCCAATAACTTCTACGTATCATTTACACGTTCTAAAATTCTTGTTAATTTTTCTCCGGCCGTTTTAGCACAGGAGCTAAAATGCGAAGGCGACTAGAATTTCATTTTTGCGCGAGGAACCGTATCGAAACGCACTAATCTCGGGCCACAGCTCCTCTGTCTGCCAATAAAAATGCTGCTCTTTGCGAAAGGATAGGGTGGGGCACAATTAGCAAGAATTTCCTGGGAAAGAGTGAAAGAAATGTAGGCCTACCGTTTAGAGATTGGTTCACAAGTTGCGAGAAACCGGTTCACATGAGAGGAAGAGAAGGAGCGGAAGACTAAAACTACCCGGAACTGCAGGAAGAAGTGATTGTCCCTCAAGACGATAATCCTGGTATGCAAATCGCTAGACGTAAGGACAAGTCTGCTTAGCGGATTATGAGGGAGGTGAGAGGGGGGGGGGTAGGTCCTCCCATTCGGCGTCGTGCGAGTGCGATAATAAAAGTCCAGTTGCTTTTGTAAAATCACTCGTGTGCTAAGACGGTTACAGATAAACGGCCAAAAAAGTGTTGGATGCTCGAAGGATGCTTATAAGTGTGCATGAAAGAAACTTCGTTCTTGCTGCTGTTTCAGAGGCGCCACAAAATCTCAAAGAGCGGAGCGTTTTGTTTTGTCTCACCCGGGGTATGATGGTTCACCAGGATTATTATGGATTGAAGGTTCGTGACGATGGAGCGATGCTGGTGGAGGCGGGATCCCCTCATGTCACATTGGGCCTTCATGGCGATGGATGGAAAAAAAATTCGTGGGTTGCATCAAGACTATTCCACGCCTTCCGAGAACAGAAGCTCTTTTCAAAGCATCTCATCGCGGCATATGTTATAGGTATATACGGCGGCATATAGACGACGCCAGGTGTTCTTCCTCCATGTCTTCACCAAGGACAGCTACGCAAGTAGCACTGGGAGAAGCAACTATTGTAAGAAATTCTGGCTACCAATGCTGAAATCAAACGCCACCTGTGCGTGAATACGATAAATACTCTCACCAGCATTCGGTTATAGATGTCGCTCGATACAAGTTAAGATGGATGCCAACAGGACTTGAGTGCACTAAATCACTGACCCACAACGAATTGGGATTCGGGTACCTTTTAAAGGACAAGGTTTGGCCTTTGGATCGGGGATCATGGGGGTCTTCACGAGCAGACAAAGTAACGGAGTCGAAGAAGTGGACCTTGGCGCCAACAATGCCTATCGATTTCCTCCCAAGTCAGGTAGTGATTTAATTTGCTTATTCCAAGAAAAGAAAGCACACATCATAGCAGTACAGCACGCAAAGCCATGGGTGTGGCTCAATCTGGCTGACTGCGAGATGGAAAAGAGAATGACAGAAATAAATTTATATCAGACTATTATATTTATCTCTAACCTGAGTTTACACAGATGTTAGGCACTGCCTGATTCTTAGAACTCCAACCTTGCATTTTGCCTTTAGGCAATTACTTCGGAACTCATTTCATCATGGGAGGTGAGAGGTTCGATACTCCCCAACCTGAAGCTTACTTGTTTGGTGACAATTTAGATTTGAACTTCTTGGGAAGCAGACCAACTCCTGTGAGTTCATTTTATTTTATTCAGTGTGCATGAAGAATTTCATACCACTCTTTATACTTATTTAAAATTCGATTAATTTATCAATGTAGTTTCCATATCCGGCTCCCCAAGCGAACGAGCCGACGAAGACACTCAAAGCACTCATAAACATCCGGAAGGAGAGCTTACACTTCACTCGAGTGAATGCAGACCAAGATGTTGCATCCGAGGTCCCACCTCCACCTCCTCCAGAAACGAGAGTCCCTGAGGAGGAGGAGAAAGAGGTAACAGATGGACAAGATAGTAATAACCATGTCCAAGGGAACCCTCGACCTGTGAGCCTCCCCCGAAGTACCAAGTTCAACATTGAATTCACCTTTGACTGTGATGTCCGGTGTGCCATCACAGTCCATTACTTCTGCACAGAGGAGCTCACCCCTCATGGTTTAATGTATGTTTCTTTCCAAATAAGCTGAACTGTGGTGGATTTGGTCATAACCAAATTTGGTTGGTATTGCCCTGGTTAAAAATGATTTCTTTTTGTAATCCCTTTAGATATAAACCTCGCAACCCACAAATGAGTTCCTACACATATCACTACAAGAGGGGAGCAAACCAGCATTTTTGTCAAGTGGAGCACATCTTTGACCCAACTGAGTGGCCAGAAGCTGATCTCTCATATGACTATGAGAGAGATTTTCTCCCTATTGTCATACACTGCACTGCTGAAGAAGGAGATGGTGAGGCTTTGAAGCCTTTTTCCTCATTCAAAATTAGGATCTATGGTTGTTTCATTCCTAGCAACCCCTTATTTTAGAACCATGGCAATCCCATGCAACACTGGCTGTTGTGGAGAAATACACTGATGGCACTTATGGGCTGAAGGCATTCAAGCAAAAACTTTTTGTTGATGGCCTTTGCTATCTCCTTCAGGAAGTATATGGCATCGAGAACAAGAATGTAGAAATGAAGGTAAAGCTGCTTCTTTCACTCCATGCATAAATTTAAATGATTCTGATTATGTTGGAAATTCAAACTTTAGCCCCAGCAAGTACTATTATAGTGATCGATCTCTGTAGTTTATTGGTGTTTGTGAGACATCAGATAGCATAGCAGTTTTTTTAAATTACTTCTGTTAATCTTCTAAGCATCCTAAAATTTTCATCCATTTACTTCCAGCATCTTTACAAAAGCTACAGTGCATTTATTCTTGTCCCATCACTGACACTAATCTTAATGCCTGCTGCACTGATAATTGTCACTGCTAGTTGCTTGCACTGATAGTTGTCTCTCCTAAAGTGACAATTCTTCTGAAGGGCTTTTTATTTTTGTGCACTTCAGGATCTGCTAAACATGCTCACTGTGGATAGACTGAAGAGCAATAGCCCTAAAGTAGTACAAACTACATGCACTAACCACTTACCCATCAATAGTGTTCCATGTTCCCGAACAAAATAAGAGTTCCTTTTGCGAAATCACTCATTTGGTGAAACAGATGGAGAGAAATGGAGAGGTACTTTAGGATGCCTAGAGCATAGAGAGAAGGGGTCTTTTGCAATTAATTCTCTCAGATGAGAGAAGTAATTCCAAAATAAAATTTATCATGCTATCTGCATTCTCACAAACACCACAGAATCTCAATCACCATAGACTTTCTCTTAACTAGATCTGTTTGTATTGTAGGAGTTTTATTCCTTGACATATGATTGAATCTGTGATCAGAATGATGACGAGACTGAGGACAGTGGAGCAGAATGTGTTATCTGCATGAGTGATACACGGGACACATTGATCCTTCCATGTCGTCACTTGTGCCTGTGCAACTGCTGTGCAGATTCCTTACGCTACCAGGCCAACAATTGTCCAATCTGTCGCTCCCCATTCCGGGCTCTTCTCCAGATCCGTCCTGTCCAGAAGGCCTCAGGCTCTGGAAACAACACTGGCCCAAATCTTAACACTGAGGTGATCTTTATGTCTTCATTTCAATTTCAATTTCAGAACAAGAGATTCCTCCTGTTGTCCTATCATTTTTTGTTGAAACATGAAAGATTATTCAAATTTATATTACTGATCAGCACTTTGTTAATCATTTTGTAGTTGGGTATTTTTGGGTTTGATACCTGGAAGATTTTTTCAGGCACCATGTGGGGTAGTTTCTACCTATGGATGTATAAAGTGTAACCTGCTGAGTTATGGAAACCAATAAGTTCAGAAATGTTGACTTTTTGACTGCTTTTTAGAATGTATGTTATGTTCTTGAAGGTCCCCCAAGATGGAATACCTCCAGGATATGAAGCTGTGTCACTGATTGAAGCCCTTAACGGACCTATAACAACATACCGATCTCACCATGTGGGAAGGGACAGGAGCTCAACTGGGAGTGCTGATCGGGTCAGACTTCGTGGTGCTGGGGGCAGTCTTAGAAGGTACCAGTACCATTCCATCATGCTCCTCTGATCTTTTCATTTACCTCTTGACTGTTATGTCCATGAATTCTCAGGTTCAGTATACCTTGGCCAAGAGTACTGAGAGGGAAATTTCTAGCATGCAAGAGACTGCAAATGATTATCAGTATCATTTACCTAAATACAGGCTGACCATAAATAAAGTCTGGAAACATAGGATTGTATTAAGGATATATTAAGATAATGTACAAGTAAACTGAAATAAATGTTCAAAATGTTCTCCCATTGAATCAGTACAGATTGGAAGGCTACATTTGAAGTGTTGATGAAGCCAATTAAGTAAATTGGCATTTCCATTCCAAAAAATTATCTTAATATATCCTATGTTTCCAGACTTTAGGGCCTCCCTGTAAGAAATATAATTTCAGTGTTTAGTAGTTCTGGATTTATTTTTTCCCATTTTATCTTAACAAGTTCAGCATTTCAGAAAAACTCACCTCCAAAGTTTTATATTCCATGCAAAAACTTGACAGTTTAAAGAATGTAGACTTATGAATCCATGATGAAGAAATCAAAATATCTTGGTCCCATCAGTCGACCGACACCTGTGCCGGAGGGGCTGGTGTCACATTGCCGCAGTGCAAGTGTCCCGAAAGATCGACTTCCAGAACAGGAAGACGGAAGTGGAGATCACATCAGGGATCGTCATACTGAATATGTTGAACTCCCAACCCTTACAGAACTTGATGGAGATGGAGAGGTAATGCCTGTAGCAACCTATTGAAATTTGCATCTATATTATATGCAAAATATGTATTTCTCAGAGGCATTATAGAGTTAGACTCTCATTCTACCAAAGTTTAGGGAAGAAGAAACAGGAAGTCTCTAATGCTCCTCAAAATTAATTCATTTTTGTTTGCAAGGGAGTTTGTCTATTTTATATTTAAATTTAAAATTGGTGATGGCCCTTGTCCTTAGGTTACAGTGGTAGAGGAGTTTAAAGCTCCAGCAAAACCCCCCCGAGAAAAGCATCCAAGAGGATCCAAAGGGAATCGCAGGCCTGGTTCATCTCATGGTGACAAACTCAGAGAATCTGCTGTCTCTCCCCCTGCATCTATTCAAGTAATTTAATTTTCTTTTTCACCATTAATGGGCATTTCATTAATACAGTCATAATGTAGAATGTGTGCAATAATGGCATTCCGGTTGTTGGTCTACACACTCTACTGTATCTAGTGGTGTTTGGTTCTTGGTGGTCTACACACAACACATAAGCATAACCCTTCAAAGTACTGTGACACAAAGAACCTGACAAACTTGTCAATGCATAATGATATAATTTCAACCCTCAGTTAAACACTCAGCAAATGTTTCTCAATATGCTTAAGAAAGTATTGGTGCCTTGGTTCATTGAGCACCACCAAATTTCCTGCAGATGTTGTGAGAGCATGTCTGGGTTGGTGCCATGCATTTTCCTCATTTTCAACACCATGACAGGCATGCAATAGTCTGAAGATTGGCACCTGTGACAGGATTGACAAATTTTGTCTGGTAGTTCACAGTTTGGTGCTGATATCCATATTGGTTCAAAGTGGTGTACTCAGCCCACTTATCAGACACATCAATGTTCTTGATACGTCCTCATTCTGAATGATCGGGAGCAAAGTTTTCTGATCACAACATTATCTTCTTCATGAGGAAGGAGAATAGGTCAGAGTTCTCAAACTTTATTGGTTCAAGTCATTTCCCTGATGACATCTCTATCTGTGACACTCAAAGGTTTAAGAGATTAACCCTTTCCCTGGAGTAGGTAGAATTCATCATTTTCCTGGAATCATCAGGGGGGTGTGGTGTCACCAAAGAAGGGGTTGAGAGAGGTTAATTCAAGTCAGATCTCCAAAATAAATTTTTAAAATGATGTCAGAGAACCTTAGGACTTGAATTTTCTTAACATCTTGGTGTGTAGACCACAAATGACTAGAGAAACATCAATGTAGACCACCAGCGACCAGAATGCCACAATAAGTAAATATGCAAGGTTGTGGCTTTTTGGAGTTTGGCCTAGACTTGGGGAGCCTGATGTGTGAGAGAAAAAGGAATAATATTGTCAACTATAAAGCTATTGTTTTCTCATTGTTCCAGAAGCCATTCAACATGTACTTCTCTATGGAGTTGAGCATGGATAGGAAGCAGCTAGCTTTTCTATGGATTTTTTTACTCTCTGCATCAGTGTCAGGAAGGAACCTTAGGTTCAATATTGATGCTCACTTCCTTTCATTTCAAGAATTAAAAAAGGGGACAGCATATTAGGGATCAAAACTTCTCAGTATAATGAAAAGGAGGAGCCTTACTTTTTGTAGTTTTTTTTTCATGCATTTCTCAAACAGTAGGATCTTGATATAAATGTTTCTGCAGCCATAAGAGATATTGGTTTGTTTCTTAAGGGAAATGCTACACTAGCATGATGATTGACTGGCTAGTATAGCCTGGACCTGCTACAGGTCTTTCAGTAACCGTGGTTTGTAGCCAGTTGGAGTAGAGGAAGAGGAAACCCTATTGGATTCCCCACCATCTTCACCCAAGAACCGAGGTGCCAATAGTGATGAAGCAGTGGAGGGGCAGGAGGAAAAGGAAAAGGAGAAAGAGTTGGAGATTGAGAGGAGGATGAGCAGTCCTAACTCTCAGTATCCAAGACAACAAACCACAAGTTCTACAAATCATGAAGAGGAACTCTCTGATTACTACACACCTGAGGACCCTGTCAAGCACATCTTGGATCCTCCTTCCACCAAAGTAAGATATAGTAGTGTAAAGGCTCTCTGCACACATAGGCCACTGAAACTGGTCTTTCTGTAAACTTGTTTCCTGAAGTGTTCCCCAAACTGCTTAATTGAAGAAGTTCAAATCATGGATGTTTGTGGTCACATTTCTGGCTTCAAATTCATTTTCCATCAATAGGTTCTCACTCCTTTTCCTGTGAAAAAGTTATTGAAGTACCATGCTTGGTTTATTTTTTGGTCCACCTTGAAATTATTTAATTTACCAAGAGGTCTCCCTCAATAAAAACATTGAATGGTTTGCCACTGGCATGAATGACAGTTTCTCTCCTTGCCATTGTTTCTCTCCTGAAAGAAAAAGCCAAAACCCAGTTACTCCACCTGGCATTATTAGTGGTATTAGCCCATTGGCATATAAAGCTAGCAACTTGCTTGGCTTGAGCCTTGTTATTGTTTCATTGGCAAAGAATGGTTAATAAGTTTGATGGCCACCAAAGTGGCCATCAAACTTAATAATCAGAAGTATAAAAGTGTGCAATGTAAGTGTAATAGTAAAATGTAGGATTGTTTATCATTATATAGAACTTGTAGCTAATTGTGTCAAATTAAATGGTATTTCTGTGTAGAAAAATGTGATTTTTAATGGTATTTCAAAGGGTTAAAAACCTTCTGGGGGTTTGTTAACCCTTTGAAATACCCTTTGACAAGGTTCTTCTGTGAGCTGGAGACTGTTTCACCTGTTTCATTCATAGGTGTCACCTGTTTCATTCATAGGTGTCACCATGGTGTGGTGACACCTATGAATGGTGGAAGTTTTCAGTATACTGGTATTCTCTTCTTTCTTAATGATTCCAAATAAGAATTTCTTCCATGACTTTCAACATTCATTCAGTTATATGCAAGTTTTTGCTTTACATGGCAGATATTTTCATTCATCAAGCTTGCTTCTTGTGCTATTTTTTAAAGTTAAGTGGTCTTTAGGTAGCTTTTCCATAAGAGTTTATCTTGTGTCTATGGATGTTAGACTAGCCACTTATGCCTTAAGGAATTCAGCTTATGAGATCTAGGTACTTTCATGTCCCCAGCCTTCCTTACCTTGCATGTGCCTATCTAGATGAGAAGAATGTGTTGTAGAAGGATTCAAGATTTCAGTAAGAGTTCTAGGGATAAGTGCAACATATTTTCATCCCCCTTTTCATTTGTGATGTGTGTTGATCTAGGTGACATCAGTGGTTCCACTAGCAACAGAGGAGGAAGGGCTGGGAGATACAGAAGGGGAATTGACCCCATCCCCACCTGGTACCCCACAGAGCCTATCAAGCCACAAATCCTCATCCAATCAGAGCAGCTACAGTTCCCGTAATTCCACCCATCTCCTCCTCAGACACCCTTCCTCACACCGTGGGATCAAGCAGCAAGTCAAGGAACCAGCTGTGCATCAAGTCTGAAGAAAATATTCTGGGAAAGCCTGCCTGGGAAAGAAAAGCTACTTTCTGGGACAGTTTGGTGACATGCCTCAAACATTCCTGTTGTTCTCAACAATTGCTGGTTGATGCCAGAATGTGTGTGGGGACTCTGCAACTTGCATTCCTCTGTCATCATTCTTGATGTTTGCTGGTGGATGCAAGAACATGCAAACATTAATATTCTACTTGGTCCCGTGCAATCTTCCAAGCTCGCTCATTTTTAATGTTACTTTATGTTTGTGATGTTAACATAAAAAAACTTATTGAATGACATGTTCCTGTTTGAGTGACAATACTCAGGGAAGGGAGGAACACCTGACAGGTGATGATAAAAATGTTCAATTTGGCGATCCTTTTCCCTCCATATTTTTCATACAGTAGCTCTTTTCTTTAAACGTTACCATGACATTAGACAGGGTTCAAGATGTGTACCCACATTACACAGTATGAATAATTTATGCATGAATTGTGATTCACAAAGTCTATAAGGTAGATATAGCCATGAAAATATGTTGAGGTAAAATACAACCAACCTACTAGACAAAACCATTTTTCATTAATTCATTTTTGAAGCTGCTTTTCCCAACTTGAGTGGGTCGGGGCTTGAGTCCAGGAGTATCTTACAGTTTTATGACCCTAAACAACGGACTCAGCAGGTGGAATACGGAGCTTTTCATGGCAGTCACTCAGTGCGATCCGTCCAACTTGCACGAGGCCTACCGACTTGTCATCTGCCGGTTATTTTAGACTAGAAGTCTCGGGGGAGCATGCCGAAGACTTTTCCGAACCAACGGGTTTGATCTCACGATCCGAATGCGTAGCTGCTCGACCTAAAGTCCTCATGGATGGCAGCATTCCGCATCCTCTTACTTGACATGACACCCGCCGCAAGAACTTCGTCGAAGCAACTTGTGTCCACGACCCGATTCTGTCATCAACTCATTCAGACTGAAGACCCATTCAGTTCGTGACCATCAGTGAGGGTGGGGGAGATGGACGCTCCTAAAAACTGAGTTTCGCTTCCTTGGAAATGTCAAATTTAACAACACGGTCCGAAAGAGTTTTCACAAAACCGCGGAAGCTCTGATGTTGCAGCTGTCGGTTTCGTTTCTGTATCTCCCATAACCAGACTTCGATGTATGTACTTAAATTTCTCTACCCTTTTCAAAGGGGTCCCCTTAACACGTAAGGCGCAGGGTACTGGACTTTTCGAGAGAACCATAACCTACATTTGGGGATGCTGGATTGCATTCCGAGTCGAACCGGTCTAGCAGGCTCTGAAGTTCCTGTCGAGACCGGACCTCGGCAAGGGTAAAGAGTAGTAAAATCTTTACTTCGATACCACCGGTGCTGAACCCCTCGAGGCCCAGACTACGCCTGCACATTCATTTACAGAGAAACAGGAAAGGGAGATAAAACGCGAAGTCCTACGCTTACCGGGAACGAGTCCTTTGATCATCCCGTTCTCGAACGCAGCTCCTGCAATCATTGCAGGAGGATTGAATGACGTGCAGTAGCCGACTGTTAACCCCATACGAGCTACTCTGCAGCACTCCCCACAGCTTTCCTCGAAGTACACGGCCGCATGCCTTTTCGAGATTCACAAAACCCATGTAAAACTCTTCCGCATGATCCCGATGCCTCTCGAGAATTTGGTGCAGAGTGAAGAGCCGGTACATAATGCTGAGCCCTTGGCGAAATCAGCACTGCTCTTCTCCCACGACTGCTCCAGCTCTTTTCAAACACCGCGTAGATCTTAGGTATGCCGAGAAGGGTGATTCCGCGGTAATCGGTGCACTCCATCGAGTTCACCTTAAAAAGAGGAACCGCCACACTGGTTTCCCAATCCATGTGTGCACCCCCGATTCGCATGCGGTTCGACATACCCTACGCAACGGCGAGCGGTGCGTAGTCATTTCAGTGCCTCCCTGATTTAATCCACACCAGAAGACTTTTCATTCCGCAGGTTAACGATAGCTTCTCGAACTTCCTCCATGGTGAGACTATTCTCCGTGCATATAGGCTCCGAGGAGGGCGAGTGGAAGAGCTCAAAAAATAAAGGGGCACCTTCCACCTTCAGAGTATTTTCGCTTCTGCAGCCAAGACCTTCCCGTTTTGATATTTTATGATTTGGAAGGTGTGCTACTTGCCTTCGAATGGTTTGCCAGAACTCCTTATCAACAGTGCGGTAATCGTACTCCATTTCTAAGGCCCCATTTCACTCTAGTAACTTCATATTTCTCAACATGGGCATTAAATCCCCGATCGGCGTCATCAAGGGCCCCATCCACATCTTCGAGGAACGCGTCGGAACTCGTTCGAATCTGCATTGGATTCGAACGACTCGCTCGCTGACGCCTTCCACGCACTTCCATTCGATCACGTCGTCGGCCAGTGGCTAACGAATACCCCCACACCCACCTCGGAAAATATAATCGAGTTTACTCCGCTCCAGTAAGAGTCCATTCGTGATTTAGAGCCTTTCTTCTTGGTCAAACATTTAGCCGACATTTACTATCCTCTCCACGAGTTCTGGTTCCTTACCGCCGAGCGTCAGCACGTTCGAAGTTCCAATCTCTTAAGTCCGTTGTCAAGGTCGTTTAACCCTTGGTTCTGCTCCTGGCACGCCCCTAGGGTGTCGTACCGGAAATACTCTATTTCCGTTGGCAGGCCAACCGATACATCAGGATGTAGCACGACGGGATCCGACGCACCCATAAACATCGGATTGCCCGGTCCCGGAAGCTAATTCAATAGTCACCCCAGAAGCACAATGACTATTCGTGCCCTGATTATCCCGGGTGACGACCGCCCCAGTATGGAACTCTTGAGGCAAACTCGTCATGCCTCTTTTGACTCGCCTTGGTCACCCTCAACAGAAGCTCCAGTATCATGGTAGGATCTGAGAAACCAAGGCCTTCCGAATCACTGGGATCCATCCTCAAGACACGGACACGCGAGCCATCGAAGACACTAGACCATACCTACGTATTGAAATACAAATGTGTTCGTGTGCATAAAATAGTATATTTCTATAACCTATTCCCTACTACATATGCACAATAATTATAGATAACTTAATGCCACTGCCATTAGCCCAACTGGGACAACGATATCACAATGAATTCATCCCCAAGAATGCAGCAGAAGATGCTGTTCACTCAAGTCTTATCCCATGACGCTGTATACTGATGATATGAGATCGATATTAATATCCATTTGGCTACATGTATTTGTCATCCTCATACACAAGGAAGATAAAAGTTTATCACTGGTCGAGGGCAGACCATGTATGGGCATGCTTACACATTAACCACGAGTACGAGTTGACAGATAGAAAAGCCAAATCGCTGAGAATGTGCCAGGTAAACTGCTATCACCAATACAATATTCATTTGGTTTTTAAGGATTCTTACACCTTACAATTTGGCTTCGAGTAGATAGAGCATCATTCATCAGAGCCCAGTATAATGCGGATGATGAGACTCGCTGGTGTTCCGTCTTCGGGAAAAGGGATTGCGGGAGGAAGATCGGTGGTTCTGTTGCTGCCGTTCGGTCAATCGGGAATGTTCCCTAACCAAGAGAAATTTAACCTCTTCAATACTGCCTGCTGCATTCTGCTTTAGGAGAAGTGTCGTATACCAACAATATTCCTCATATATTTGAAGTGACAGCAGCCTTACTTGAAGAATGGGATGAGCCTGGTAAGGATGATTCTCTCGGGATTGTTGGCCAGCTCAGGGCAGTGTTGGACCAGCATGTTGAGGACACAGCGGAGGTAATGTTGAAGGCGACGTCTCCGCTCCTCAACAAACTTGGAGTCCTTGTTACCAATTGTTCTCTTGGGTGGGAAGTCAAACGTTGAGACAAGCGGGTAGTCTTGCTTCAGCTTCTTGTGGAATGCATAGAACTGAGAGTAACGGCGGTATACATTCCACTCGTCATCACGAATCCGGATATATACCTGATGGGATGAATACAACAACCCATACAGGACAATTAACACCAATGAACTCCACTTCATTTGCTAATCCTGTCTATTCTCCTTATTTCTTCTTTCCAAACTCATTGTAAAGCCTACTTGTGGGCTTTCATATGATCATAGGCTGCTTTTGCAAGTTATGGTGTTTTGTATGCCACTTCCTCACACCCTGGAAAGCCTATGGCAACCCTGGAAGTCTTTCACAATCCTCCACTAATTCAGCTATTCCTAGCAGGAGGAGTCTTTCATTGTTTGCCTGTCAACTGAGAAGGCAGGAGTAAAGGGCACTCAGAAGTATGAAACCAGGTTGATAAAATTTGATGTTTTGAACATGCTCTGTGATTCCTGTACCCCTCTACACTTACTAGCTGTAGTTTTAGCAAGGCATTGACTCAAGGAATATATTTTCTTCTCATTTCAGCTATCCTCTACACTGAAGCATATGTTTGCTGCAATGAAGTTGAAGGCTTTTCAGGCAATTGTGGCAGAATAACCTTTAAAGAGCTTCTGAAAAATCCCAAGCACAGTTTCCCTCGAGGGAACCATGCTACAGTATATCAAGCTGAGTCCCTTACCATCTCATTGCATGATGACTCAAGTGAATACAATTCACCAATGAATACTTGCTCATCAATGACCTGCCAACTTACAACTCATGTACTGCTCAATTCAAAAACTCAACTTGATGGACGATACCCTGCCAACTAGAACTTGCTGAATGTTAAACTCCCTAACATCATTATTGACCAAAGACAGAGCTAAAACTGAAGAAAAACCCAAACAGTTGATATGGAGCATTCATGGGAGTCAAGCACACTTTCCATTGTGCCCAACTCTACTACCCCAACCTTTGTGGCTGTGTATCGATTGAAGCCACTTCAGTTTTTGTCAATTAAAAAATTATAATTAGATATTGGGCTTTCTAAAATGTCAGGGTTTCAATCTATGCCAGTTTTGCTTTGATGCAATCAGTTAGACAGGAGGAATTCCTGAACAGAGTATAATTGGTTACACCAATTTGTTTCTGGTCAAATGACTGGACAAGGAAATATAGATGAATCAAATTAGATTGCATATGGTAAAATGTGATAAAACAGTCAACAAGGCACAATAACTTCAAGGCCCATGAATGTGGCTTCATTCTGGAATCCCAGCAAACTCTCCCACTCATCTCAGCCATACATTATTCCTTGCAAACATCATCCAAGACCCAAGTAACCTCTAACCTTGGGAGATTCAATTTGGCACGAGGACACTCTGGGGATACTTGACCCAGGTATGGCTTTCACCACCAGGGTTCCTTAATGTTCCAAATGCAGACACAGGTGTGCTTCATATTTAGGGGTCTTCCTTCCTAAACATGCTGGGGCCTGTTAGAAAAAAAGGCCTGATATGGTTGGTTTTGAACTCAGGTCCCATCACAGGAGCCAAGCACACTACCAACTGGGCCATTGACCTTTCCTTGACCTTTGTGACAGGAAATCAAGTGCAGCTCCCTCAGTTTTGGTCACAACAGGATGAAAACAAGATGTGATTTCCAAGGCTTCAAGCTTTCCATCAATATGCTACTTCAGCCATATCTCATTGGCCAAAAATGAGGAGTTCCCAGAAAAATAAATGGAGCTATCATTATAAATATATATGAAAATGTATGCCTGATAGACATGGTGTATGTCGGTGGATCCCCCTGTGAGAAATGCTGAAGGTATCCAGATATTGATGAGCGCTCTTGAAGAGGGGGAGAGGGAAGAATTGTCATAGTCAGATGTCACACTGGCCTCATCATCTGAACTCTGTCCTTCCTCTGCAAATGGACCTCTCAATTCAATCAACTCCTCCCGCAATCGCCTGATTGTGGCCTCTTTGATCCGAATCACTCGCTGGAGACGTTCATTGAATTCCATCAACTCCCCATGCATTTCAGCCACCTGCAGAAATATTCTGTATTTCATTCAACCTGCTTTGACTAATGCCATTTGAAAGATGCCAATGCCAATGAAAATCAATGTTGTACAATACACCTTGCAACCTCTCATAAAATTTTTTATTTAGTCACCAAGGTGATGTCTGCTGATGCTACCTGATTTCAACAAGTCATCTTTTCTAGCAAGCAAAGCACAGACACAGACACAGAGGCAATGATAGAGTCCTATAACAATGCTAAAAAAGAATAATTACTTCTGATCTACCAAAGGCTCTCTTGAAAGAGAATATTTTTTAAAGTGAATAAAAAAAAAACAGCTCTCCAGTCAATTTTCAATGCCAGACAAAAACTGCTGAAATAGTAAAATTTTACAGCATCATAGAGTGCTTTTTGTTCATTTGTCTTCAATATCTGTTAAAATTGGCAATGTTCTAGTGCAAGGAATGAGAGAAACATGCCTATAAAATGGGAGAATGGGCAATATTAGCAGATATAAATATAAGTACTGGGAAAGGTATAATTTTTTTTCTTATACTGGAACAAAGTTTGAAGGCTCAAATCCATGAACAAAAGCTGAAAAAAAATCTGCATGAAAGCCTGTGCTTGGGTCACATGTCTTAAGATTTAATTGCATGATATTAGATGTCAGAGCACCCATGAAAATTTGATACCATTGCAGTCAGAATATTTTTTCCCAAAAGTAGACCTACCTGAAAAAAATAAGATTAGCTGGAGAAATGGTCAGTTTGAAGAACTAGTGACTAGTATATTTGTAGGCAGCACTGCCTCTTTAACAGACCTGGATGAGCTTTAGTTCATATTGAGATTCTTCCTGTACTTGTATATGAGCTAACAGAGAGTGGCTGGGTTCCAGGATCTGATGCTGAGAGGACTCAAGAGATGCCAGTGTCTCATGAGCTGATTTCCCATCCTGCCGCAGCATCTGCACTGCCCCTACATATTTCTTGAGCTGGTGCTTCAGCAGTTCATTCTCTCTGCCATCATAGTCAAGTCAATCATCATGAGCAGTGAAAGACATGGCAATACTTGTGTAAACAAATCTTCTCATTTGGCTTGAAGAATTCCTACCGAATGAGGGCCTGATGCTTGGAGTTCATTTGCTCCTTCCTCTCTCGGAGGAGGCGGTTGGTTTCCTCTGCTTCTGCCTTCAGGACATTCACTCTTTCCTTCTCTTCTTTGAGAAGGTTATTCAATTCCAGACACTTGGCCTCCAAGGTTGTCTTCTCTGACAATGTTGCTGCACATTTGGCACTTGGATCACCTGAAGTAATCAGTAAAATGAACCAGTTCTGAGCTTGTGGCTCCAACACAAGCTAACTAAGAAACAAAAAGGAAAGTTACTTCACTTCTCAATGTGATGCAAAATAATTTGATGTTAATGGAATAACAAATGGGACAAAAACACTGAGTCAATCAAGAGCAAAAAAACTGGATGTCTTTTTTGCCACCTTAATTATGAAAATAAATCATCTGGGAGAGTAGGACATTTGGTCACCAAAAACATAATAAATATAAAACATATTTAATTTTAAGTTTTACAAAAAAGATGGAAGCTAAACACTACAAATAAATCATATCAAATAAGCTATATTAAATTAAAACAAACCTGAATGAGAGGATAGGTCACTTATTGAAGGAGATGGGACCATTATATCCTTGTCATCTGAGTTTCCACTCTTCACTGAAGCAGAATCATAATTCTCTGATTCAACAGCCAATTTCCCTTCAGCCTGACTCTCACTTTCAGAATCTGGCTTGAAGGAAGAGGCAGGTTTTTGTGGAATAACAGGAATGAGCATCCCAATTGATGGCTCAGACACTGGTGTCAATGCTTTGCAAGATGTAGGTGAACTGCCATCAGACCTATGGAGAATAACCATTCACTAATACCAAGTTCCTTCAACTTGGGAATTACAAACTTCCTGAATTTATTATCAAACCTAATTGCATGTTGGGTGGTATTGCTCCTTGGTAAAGAAATGAGGAGATCAGGACTCGAATGATGTGTCTGGTTGGATCTTGTTACTGGTTGCAACTGAGAGAGTGGAGGATCTTGGACCACAACTGGTTCAAAAGCATCCCTGCTATCACAGGACATGATGTCAGAAGAGAGTAGGGAGGAATCCCCACTGGAGACACTGATCAAGTGCTCCCTGCTTTGCAGATGCTGCTGGACATATTTCCACGATTCACCTCCTGCATTCATTCCATCTTCTGGACCCAGGCTCACCAAATTCCGAGGGGTCTGCCGTTTTCTCCTTCTCCTCTCCTTCTTCAGATCCATCCCCTTTTCTATAGCATCACAAACAATTTTCTTTCATCCAAACCCAAAATGACTTTCTAATGGAGTAACAGAAATAAGAGGGACTTTGAAAAATTCATGTATGCATCAGCCACCCAAGGCAGTAGCAGATTTCCAGGGATGCCATTATTTAAATCTTGATTTAAAGATGCTATCTTTTAAAAGAATTCATTGGAGTTTCTAATTTCAATTTTTTTTGCCATATATGTAATGGCAGATCGATGAAATAGAAGGGCATACATATTTAAAGGATCTCACCAGCAGGAGAAGCAGAGTAGACTGGTTCTGGGTCTTGGTATTTTCCAGAGGGCACTCCTGAAGAAATACCTTGCTCAGAGGTCACATAGTAGGGCAAATCGTTCAGCTCCTTGTTATCAATCTTAATGGCAAACAGTATTGAGCCAAGACCTAAAGCATCAAAATGACCTTACAAGCAAAAGCATCTCTGATGAAAGCAGTCAAATAGATATACTGATTGCTGATATGACATACCTGCAGCCATAGTGGGGAGCATGGAGCTGCGCTCTGCATCCTGCAAGAAAGCCCAAGGTTCGTAGAATTCAGACAGTTTCTCTTCCTCACACAAAATCATCTGCAAGTATCGTTCCAGAGAGTGCTCATTGAGTGCTGCCCTGAGCCATGCTCGACCTCGACCCCAATCTGTTGTGATCTCTCCCAAGAGGAGATATCGTTGGTAATCATGTCGGCTCAGCACTCCACGTACAACATTCCAAAATACTGCAACAATATGTTGGTGGCATCATTTCAGCAATGAAGACCATGAATGCAGTTACAGGCAAAGAAGCTGACCATTACCATTATTCACCTGATCCCGAAAAGGCACAAGACTCTGTGACATCTTCTCTGTCACATTCCTGAAACATTGTGTTGGCATTTTACTCACATTGTAATCAGAACCAAGTTTTAAAAAATGAGATCCATAACAATACAAAATTCAAGGAAAATCCATTAATTAACACTGCCACTCACTTGAGAGATTGTACAGGGCCATGACTATGAGGTGGTTTTTTGAGCCCATGCTGGAATACAGTTTCAAACTGAGCACACAGGATGGAAACCCTTGGATCATTCTCTGTAGCCAACTCAGATCGTCCACCAAATCGTATCTGACACTGCTTAACAGCATCAAGGAGGCTTCGCAGCATATCTTGCTTTTCTTTGGCTTTCCTTTCCATTTTGGGCATATAATTTCACACTTTGTTGGCTTGTCTGCTTATGACCTAGGTTGGCCTCCTGAAGGTTGCCAACATCGCCTCCAGTTGATGATGCTTCACCCTTTTTTTTTTTTTTTTTAAAGGGAATAGGAACTCTGAGGAATTTGCAAGCTGATATAAAGTATATAACTTTTCCAACAAAAATAGGCAGTGCAAGCTTGACACTTGAGTCGTGCAGCTATACCATCAAAAATGCACATGCAAATGGCCACATATGAAATCATTCATGTACATCAAGGTTTTGCACCTGCACTGGCCTCTCCCCATGAATGATCAGGGGTAGGTCACATCATCAATCTTCAGGAATATTGTAAAAACATGCAAAATTACTACTTCATAATGCTTTACATGAGTGAATTCTTTATATTTTCCTACAATGCAAGAAAATATGTTCGGCTGATTATCTGCTTCCACTCCTTCTCTCAATGCTACCTTCCCATATACTTCTTACCTTTACCTTTAAGTCTCAAATCTTCCCACCCACATACCACATTTGTTAGGCTAGCTTCAATATTGGGTGAAGCTCCTATAACATCCAAGAAAATCTTTTTGCCACAGTCTTTCCTCCTGAGTTTAGTTTTGATTTTGATTTCATTTTTTAAAGCTAACCCAGACACTTGAAGTAGTTTCAGTCAACTGAGGAATCTAGTTAAATTGCAAAAACCTGAAAGCAAAGAAAAATACAACCTAGACATTATCAAGAATTTATTGAAAGTGAACCTGGGAAATTTTCCTCAAAAACACAACTCAACACAATCAAAAAACTTTCAGAATGACAGAAAATGAGCAAGGTCACATTCAGATGAAATAATGTGGCTTCTTGACTTGGATTCCCTGCTCAGCCAAGGCAGGTACAAGATCTTCCATTGTGAGAACAAAGCGTTTGTCCTTCCCACCTTTAGTTTTCACTTGAGCAGCAGATCGGAGCTTGCAGTGTTGTAGTGCATCGTTAACAATGTCTGAGATGAACTTTTGACCAGCGAGACTGATGAGACGCAGAATGCGGGGGTCACAGGCCTCAAACCCTGCAGCGTTCATGTAATAAGCAGTAACTGCATCTGGGATTGTGGGTGCATATTCTTCCAACTGTGTAAGGAATTCAGCTAGAGGTTGACTGGCAAGGGTGCTTTCAGCCCCATCAGATGTCATACTCCCTCCTAGGGCCAAGCCTATATCACTGGGATCATTACTAACATTCCCTTCTGCCTTTCCACCAATGGATGACATTCTCAATTCTGAACAGGCCCTAAAATATGATCCAGGCATGTTCACATTAGAAATACTTTGAACCAGACAAAGTAACCTAATCCTATCCTAAGTCATAAGTTATAAGGCCTGATCCTGGCACTAAGCCCCCAAGACAGCATTTGTACCTTGCTTAGAGTGAACATGAGAACCTAATCAATTTTTAGTTTTTGTCAAGTCATTAATTTTTGTTTCATTGACAAAACTGCTGATGTTGAGAAGTAAGTAATTAGTCAACATGCTCTCTCTACCCAAAAAATTGAAATTCCATTGTTGGGGACAATAACTAGAAACCCTAACTTTACATATTTTTTTGGAATCTGCATCTCTGGAAGGTCTTGTAGGTACACATTGTACAAGACTGAGGGAGATTATGTGAGGATGAAGGGAGGGTAAATATTATATCACCAAGAGATTTTATCCATGATTTTAGCTGCTATTCATAGTTCTTGTAGGCACTGGGGCTTGCAAAAGAGGCAAGCCCACTTAGCTAAGTTTCTTGATGACAATATAGACTACTTTTCTTTTAATAAAATTTACAATTCAATTCAAACTTATAACTTGTATAACTTGCCTATGACACTTTTTCATCTATGGAGTATGGGAAAAAGGACCAATGCTTTTTAACCTTCATACTCAGCTCATAATGAAGCTATTTTCATAAAACTTTCACTATACAAGTATGAGTATCCTACCATCTGATTCTCAAAATGTCATCCAAATGTTTTGACCAAATCAGTATTATCAGCAACTGTTGAAAGGAAGTTAGACATTGAGAATGGACAGGAGCTCCAGCTGGACGTGGAATGGAGAAAACAATTCATAGCTGTCTTTCCTGGTCATCAATACCATGTAGAACTCTTCCATTTAACTGTATTCTAAAGCTTGGTTATCTCTTGCAGATGATTTTCATGAGCTAATCCCTGATAAATAGCAGATGGATCAGAGTTATCTGAGTTTCCGATGAGATCAATCCGAGTTTCCTCAGAGTTATTCAACATTTCCCTTGGTTTTCTGAAGGAACTGTCCACTTCAAATGTCAGAATTGTCATAGAATATCATTCATAATTTTGATCTGAAGTAATATTTTTTTTTTAGTAACCTCATTGATAAATGGAGTACTACATCTGCAGCAAATTTTGTGAGATATGACTTAAGCAATCATGAGGTACAATCAAAGTTGTTGGACCTTTTTGTTGCATCCTACAGACTTAGACTGATGTAAACCAAGAGAAATTTAAAATGAGGTTTGTGAAAAGTTGCTAGGAATTTATATATACTTATTCATCTGCAATTCATTTTTGATGAAAACCATCTGCCAAAGATGCCTAGACCAAAGAATGAATTTAAATGGAAGAAGAGTTTGATGTAGTCTTGATGACCAAGAAGGACAATGAGTGTTTCCTGCACTCTTCACTACCAGCGGGAGCTCTTGTTCATTCTCAATGTCCAACTTCTTTTCAATATTGCTGATGGTATTGCTTTGGCCCAACAAAGTCAGACGAAATTTCAATTATCAGTTGGAAAGATACTCATATATGCAGAATAAAAGTTCCATAAAAATAGCTCCATTGTGAGCAGAGGTATTTTTAAAAGTCATTAGTCTTTTTCTTGCTACGCCCTGTAGGTCATAACATCTTGCACTATGAGCTTTATAATTACTACTTCAGTCCAAATATATGCTCCCTTATTTTCCCTTATCTGAATTGCAGCAAAAATGTATTAACCCACTCATTCATGAGATACACAATTGGGAAATATTACTGAAAGTAGTTTTGAATTTATATAAGCACATTATGCTTCTAACATCATTTATAAGGGAGTTCTGAAGTAGGTAATCTACCCAAAATTCAAGCATTGCTCCCATGAGGTTACTATGGCAATCTATTGGGTGTCTCACTGCAACCAAAAAACAAATCATTATGATGAGATTAATTTGCATTTTGGGTGGGACCATGAATGCTTATTAACACAAATAACCTTGAACAGTGGGTAGGAATAGATTTGTGAGCAAAGTCCACAGGGTTCAATGGTAGGCCCACCTCTTTTCTCACTCCATGTTTGCCCTTTAACTGCTATGAAGGCGTTAAGTCATTTGCAGAAGTTCCTCTGTACAGAAGGTACCAGAGATTTTTCGAGACAACAGGAACCAGTCCAAAACTATTCTAGTCCTTCACTTACTTAATAAGGTACGTGAGGGAACTTGAGCAAGTGTCATAGGCCATGGTGTACCAAAAAATACTCCGCAAAAAGGGTGTAGGAAAAAAAAAAACAGCTGAAGGGTTAATGAAATAACAGATTGGCTGGCACAATCACAGCAGGCCTGTATATAAACGGTACAGCAATCCGTGTATTCGGCAGTAGCCATAGGTGTGTATGAATGCAACATGCAGCCCTGATAGGTTAAATAGACAATTCATCGACGAGTAGGAATGTTCCCACAGAAAGCGAGTTCGTGGCAATAGCTGTGGCATGTTAGGCCTAGTCTAGGTAGGCCAACAGTATTTGCTTACTGTTCGGCATTTCGATTTTTTAAAACTTTATTTTGACAAACCTCCCTGTAGACAGCCGCTCTGTCTACACCCTCCAAGCAGACACACGAGTTCACTCAGATACAGGTATGAAGTCGAGGGGGCGAGTATCGTCGACTCAGTAGAGGTATTACCGGGATTCTGTTGTTCGCTGTCTCAATTTGACACGCCAAGAAATCGTAAAGGCCTAAACCCGTTGTTGAACTGTTGCAGACTGATCAACTATTATTTTATAAGAGATTTTTTTCCATTCTGGAGGTCGTGGTCACAAAATTGTCGTCGGCTAATGATGTTGAGAACCTTCTCTTACGATACCTCTAGTTTTGGTTTCCAGAGGAGCCTGCTGCTCCGTGTGTCATGTGCAGTTAGGAAATTGAATTAATTAGTTCATTTAAGAAACGCACGGTTATTGTACGCTCAGCGTCATTTTCCCCTTGTTTAGCCTATTAGATAAGCCCAACTAATTTGCAGGGGTTTCCCTTACTTTCCCTGCATCAAAAGATTTGGAGAAAGCTCTTTGAACGGGTAGAGTGCATTCACACGAAATTCCCCGTGGGTCAAGGGTTTTAGGTTTTGTAGCAAGTCAGGTCATGACCTAACCTTAGGCCAATAATGATTTTACGTCATATAGGTTAGTTTAAGCTTACCTCAAATTAACCGAAACCAGACAAATCAACAACTTTTCGAAAGAAAACACTTTTTTGTTTGGGTTTACATGCAAGTACCAAGCAAAGCCAACCTTAAACTACCCTCATGCTAGCTTTAGTTCACTGAGACTAAACTGGAACTGAACTTGAGTTAAGCTTACAGTGCCATCTGGGTACATTAATAAAACATGATAAACTGAAGTGATTATGTCCTGGTTGGGAATTGGTTTCACATGGAAGAAAACCATGTCTTCGTATTTGCACATAGGCCTAGAATCCCAAGCCTATATGGTAAGACCTACATGTATCATTACAGGTTTGATTGTACATAGGTTAAGCCTGTATCTCACCTTAGTATGAAGTGGAAATCAAGGAAGGTGAAACGAAAGGAAGCCAGAAGGCAAAGGAAAGCCAGAATAGATGCATATCACAGAAGGAAGTCAATCAAGCAGACATTGGTACAGGAGCAGTCAAGTCCTTTGAAGCAGGAAAAAGAGGTAATCCAAGGCAGGGAACCTGAGAAGGAACCCTCTGTTGATGTACCTCAACCACTATCCAAAGGAAAACAGGGAAGGAAGGGAAATGTAAAGAGTGCAAAGAAAGAGAGAAAGAAGAATATTCTTGACTTTGAAGCACGTAGGAGGCAGAATTTTCTTGAGGATAATGAAAAGGAAGAGCGACACATAAGATTATTGGAGAGGAAGCTTAGATTGAATAGACGGAAGGACAAGACAAAGTTGCCCATGTCTTTTGTTGCCGATGGCTTGGACTATCTTTTAGACGTATGTGAATCTCATGATGAGAGAGCACCAATGAAAGATCATCCACCAGCAGCTAAACATGATGAAGATATGGATCAGTGTAAAGGGAGTGATATGGAGGAAGCAATGATTGAAGATTATGATGATGCATCAAATGAGGAAAGTGATATAGAAAGTGAGGGGGTTGTGGGGAATCTTTTGGAAGAAGGAGAAAGTTCAGACAGTGATGACAACCAACACAGGGAAGTTCAAACTATAAATGATTTTGGATCAAATGCAGGAAGTAGAAGAGGTGACAAAGATTCAGCAGTTAAGGAAAATGTAATTGATCGACATCTGGAAAAAGAAATCAGAGCCCTCATCAACCGTATGAGTGAGAGTAATATGACAAGTATTGCATCCAAGTTGGAAGACTTCAGTCAGATACATGGTCGACATTCTGTCAGCCTCTTGTTGATGCAACTAACCTTGTCAAGCATAATTATTGATGGCACTGTACCTGAACGTCTTATTATGGAGCGAGCTCTTTTGGTAGCCATTCTTCATGCTCATATAGGTAGTACTTTGGCAAGAATCCTCCTTGATGCACTTCTTGATGTTCTCACTGAAGCCACTAGCAGCATCAGGCGAAAAAATGCCATTCTCCTATTGTCATATCTCTATAATTTCAAAGTTGTGGACAAAGATTTTCTATGGGATTATGCATCCAGTCTGTTAGAAACCTTTGAGGAAGATGACATTGATGCACTTTTGGTTATCTTGAGATGCTCTGGAATGACCTTCAGGGAAGGTGATCCTTTAGCACTCAAGAAACTCATCTTGCAAGCTCAAGAAAAAGCTTCCAGTGCTTCTCCAGGAAATTTTCGAGTCAAGTTTATGCTGGAAATCTTGACAGCCATTAGAAGCAACAATGTGAAGAAGATACCAGACTATGATCCATTGCTCTTAGAGAATGGAAGAAAGGTGTTAAGTCGTTCTATCCGATCAGGAGCTTATAATGAACCTATTAGTCGGAAGCAGGATGTCAGTGAAGTTCAAGCTGACGAGTCAAGTCCACAAAAGTCAACACTTGATTCAAGTGAGAGTCATCTCTTGCAGCTATCAAGATCTCAACGGCTCAATACAGACATTCGACGGAAGATTTTCTCCATCTTAGTCAGTGCACAGGATTATCTTGATGCATATGAAAAACTAATGCACCTTGGACTCCGAAAGAACCAAAAGCGGGAGATCATCCACATCCTGGTGTCCACCTGCATCCAAGAGAAACCCTACAATCCATATTATGCATATCTTGCTGAACATCTATGCTCTGCTGACCGTCACTTTGCTGTGACTCTGAGATTTACTCTCTGGGATCGAATCAAAGAGCTGGGCAATGCAAGAAAATTCCAGAGGAAGAACTTGGCTGGGTTTATGTCACAAATATTGTTGGCTGGCAGTCTTCCCCTCTCAGTGCTAAAGGTGGTAGATTTCTCCCAGCTGACTGAAGTTGTGAAAGAGCTCTTATCTCAAGTGATGATGCATATTCTGAAATGTGACAATGAGGAAGTTTGGAGAAATGTATTCCTCAGGATCTCCAAAGGAGGAAGACTGCAGCTCTTGAGAGCCAGTCTGCGGCTTTTCCTGAAGCACTTTCTTTTGCCTGAGGTTGATGAAGAGTCTCTTCAAAGGAAGATCAATGTTGCTATTGAATTGCTTGAAGTATTGTCATGATTGTAAAGATTCTGTTTGGTTTTTTTGGGTTGACTCGGCGTGGGCTGTTGACTGGGTGGGAATTTGTAAGATCCTAAAGTGAGGCATGAAGAATACTTATCAGAATACCATTCATTGTGTTTGCCTACTTTACTTAACAGTATTACACCTTCTGTTAGAGGAAATATTTAATGAGGAATTGTTATACCTTGCATGATTGCCAGTACTGACCACTTTGGCTGATTGCATATCAATGAGGGATTTGGCTTTTCCAAATCCTGGGAGAATTGTTTCTCCCACTTCACAGTCAATCCTTTTTCTGGATCTTGTGATCAAGGAGTGGCATAATTTTATGGGAGAATGTTTGCATGCAGTGCATGCTTGATTTTCTGAAAGTCAGTACTTCTATTGGCTTGTTGCCACAATGCACTATATTTTCCTTATACACTGTTTTCGGATTGAATTGGTAACCCCCCCCCCCCTAGGAGTGTTTCCATCAAGTACAGGCAGGACACCTTGTGGGAGGAAGGTGAAGTATTAATAGAACCATCCAACAACCATGTGGAGCATCAGGCTTGACATCTTGAGGATCATCTGGAAAGCTTGTGTTTTCTCCGTTCTCCACAGTAGGGGGGGTACCAACTCAATCTGAAAACAGTGTATTTTTCTTCCTACAGTATCCTTGAGATACTGCAGATGGAAACTGATGCTTTATGATTTCAGAAAATTGTAAAGTGCCATCAGAGTGAATCAGGCCAAACTGGAGTAATTGTGTCTTAAGACTTTGAAAAGGCCATATCTCTGAGAGTAATGAACCAATCTTCACTAAATTTGAAACGTAAATGAGTCATGTCAGAGTACATTCTTTTAACATGTATTTGCAGTGTTTGAAGCATTATTCTGGAGCACACATAACAGAAAAGATTGAATTTGCCCCTCCTGTAACACGTCTTTGCCTTAGTACACTCAGAACATTCCTGTGCCAAAACAAATACCTCCTCTTTGATTTTTTTCAAACACATGGCACATTACAAACATTATAATAATTTTCAGAATGCACTCCTACTGCTCTTAGAGACAGTGTCATTTAAGCGTTGCCAAGGACTGTAAGTGTATTCAAAATTGGCACTTATTTTTGTCCCACCTGTAACAATAGTGTCGTCAATAGGTAAATTGAAAATGGTGAGCTGATCTTTGTCACCTGAAGATGTTATCATCCCTGCAGGAATTGCAAATAATTGGAACCATCATAGTTCTGCAATAATACTGGAAATTATTTGTTTTTGATCCTACCCATAAATTTAAAGCATAACTGCCCCACCTATAACATGCATCTTGCATGCTTACCCTGTTAGGTACAGGATTACAATTGCACCTGCTGATGCACATTGTTGCCTATGATTAGAGACAGGATGATACATTTGTACAAGCTTGTACACATGAAAGACAATATTTCAAGCCAAAATTGTCCCACCCATAATGTTTTCCATTAAATCTTTCATAATCAAATCAAGCACTGGCAATAATTTTCTTTTGAAAATTTATGCAGCTTGGTATTGTTGATAATTGTAAAAATCCAAAAATGTAGTCTCCTAAGCCAAACCATTCCAGAGATATCTTGCCAAACATTTTGACAAAATCGCAAAAATGATGCATTCTCTAAAATTTGAAACTCTTTCAATAATTCTTAAAAACCTCCGATAAGGGGTCAAATGCAAGCTCTTAAAAGAGCTTTTTAATGATATGTAACATAAACATGATTATGAAATATATAATAATTGGTCCTATTTGAAACATTTGTAATGTTCGTCTTAACTGTAACTTTTGTTACATGTCTGACAAAGTATCATGTGAATGCAGGATAACATGAAATCTTAAGTATCATCACGTCATGTGATTTCTAGGGTACACACAAACGTGTGACAATTAGCAATTGATACAAAGCTCACATGACAACTCTGTGCCAAAATGGCTGCATTATCAATGTAACCACTGAGATCCCTTGTATGCACATTTGCAGAGTAATTCCACAAAAACAGGGATATCATTGTCACATTTTTAAATCCTGTATTTGGTGCCAATCAAGGATGGCTCTGTTATGGTTTTTTTTGAGCAAAATACTTTCTGGAAAATGCATCTCTAGAAAAAATTTGTGTCCTAAGGGGATTTACCTTTAGTGTAATATTTGCTTTTACTGAAATCAGTACTCAAAACACTTTAGGCTAACCAAGTTCCAGCTTTATGTTTGCCCTACTCAGGAGCAAAAATTTATTTGGAAAACATGACATAACCAAAGTTGTGCCCTGAGGGAATGCAACAAAAAGCAGAATTTCTCTTGAATTCTACATCACATCAGTTATGTGTGTCCCTTTGCACCTTTCCATTTCAGCCTAAATTGCTGGGACAGAAAAATATATTGGAAAAGGTCTCCCCCAAATAAATATACACCCAGGGCATTTACCTGAAAAGTAGCATTTTTCCTGTACTCAGTATCATGATTATGCCAATCATGATACTGTTCATGCCTAGATTTACTTATTTTGGAAGCAATCCTGATAGCAGGTATATTACTCAAAGTTATGTATCCACTGATACACAACTTGGAGTGAACTTCAGATACTGCCTAGTGGTGTCTTTTTTTCATGTAAAAGTGCAGAATCTGAAGCAGTATGTGGTATCTTCAATTTTCATGAGGTGAAAGGATGTAGCTTGCTTCTGATTGTGGTACTGTAGCAATTAAAATGTATATGCTAGTAGAGCTTCTTTGCTATGTGAATTGTGATGGATGTTTAGGTATACTTCATAGATGATGAGGTGTGGTCCATTCAGTCCTTTAATGGTGGAGTCAACCAAGATAAAAGGATCATGATGTTGAGGACATTCCTCTCCCTCTCACTGCTGGCCTATGCCAGTGGATCTGAGTCCTCGTTTTCATCTGTGATATCGTTCTGTGAGGCATGGCAACTTCCTGAGAAATGCCACTGCGATGAGAAGCTTGAAGGCATGATCAGCCTGCAATGCTCCCTCCCACTTTCTGATTCTGCTCTAGTTGTATCTCTTCCACAGAAGCACATAGAGTCCCTGGTGCACCTGCAGGTAAAAAAATCTCATGCCATGTATTTAATTATCAGTTCATGTTTCAGATCTAAAAAAATAATTAAATTATGACTTTTGAACAATAATGCTCTTTATTTCAGCCCATACATTTATTAATTATTTCCCCCATATCTAGGTGATTGGAACTACCTTCACCACCTTCAACTTGAGTACATTCCGAGTCTTCAAGAATCTTAAGTCTATTGCATTTATTGATGACCATTTGGATGAGGAGAGCCCCCTGCAGCTGCCATGCACCTCTGACTTCCCTCAGCTACAATCTCTGATACTCCGAAACAACACCATTCGTAATATACATCTTCAGTGTTCCATGAAGAACTTAGAGCAACTGGATCTGTCTTACAATTTGATATCTCACTTGCCACCATCACTTATTGAGGAATTACCAGCCCTCAATTCATTGAATCTCAAAGGTATTTAATCCTCCTTGAACTTACTTTAAAATTTATTCAACTTTGCAAAATGTATTGAAATGTTGGGGTAGATTGTGGTGAGTTTCTAAAAGAAAATTATTTCTTCCTGAAGGAAACATATGGGGATGCAATTCTAATCTCTTGTGGCTGGTGGAAATTCACTCTGCAAAACCTGGCCTCCTTGTGGATGCAGATTCTCTTGAATGTTCCCATCCATATGAATATAAGCCCCTTCTCAAAAGTCTCAAGTTCATACTGGTGAGTTGAGGTTGCCCAGGATTGGTTTTCATTCTGTCATCCCCTGATTGATTTTCTCAAATTCAGGATGCCAAGAGGGAATGCCCATCAGATCCCCCATATGGCTGTGAATGCACTGTTCCCCGGATCATCCCATTGTCCAATGGGACACTCATGCCTTTGGTCTATGTTAATTGCTCCCACCGAGGCCTGCAGCAATTCCCTAACAAGCTTCCTGACTATGCTGTCACTCTTCACATGGAACACAACTTGGTCAGCCTTGACTTTATGGAAACATCAGCTTTGAAAATCAATCTCTTGTATTGATGACCAATTGTGTGAAGATTATTCCCTGTCCTCCTGATGTCCCCAGGTTCAGATCTGTGGTACTCCAGAACAACAGCTTTTGTAATGTATACCTCTAATGTTCTGTGAAGAACTTGAAAAAGCTGGATTTCTCATTAATTTATTGTTTCAGTTGTCACCATCTCTTTTTGAAGGGGTCTCCCCTCATTCGTGTTGTTTTTCAAAGCTGATGACTTATGACTGATGAAAAGTTATTCTGTTCTATTCAATCCATTTGTGTGTGTGTAGCTGACAAGGTTTGATGGGATGAAGGACATTCAAAACTTCACCCAACTGGTGAATCTATACATGGATTATAATCAGATTGAAGAGGTGGAGCACCTGGAAGGGACCAGCTTTGCTGAGAACTTCCGCCTCCTTAGCCTCAAGGGGAATCGCCTGAAGCAGGTCAGCTCTGCAGATCTCTTTTAGAAAGATTCACATGCATAATTTTCATCTTTTTCCTCATGAGCAAGATCAGTGGAATCTCATTAGAGTAGGTGTGTTGAGCTTTGCTTAATGTGGATCAAGACAAAAAAAAGTATCTAATGCTATATATCTATAATGCAAAATAATTTTTATTTTTATTTTACTGTAGATTCTACTAAATTAAGTATTAGCAATACAGCTATGTCAGTAGAATCCTTTTGCTTCCTTGTTAAGAGTCAATGGAACTTGACAGGTTAGAGAATGGGAAGGGCAGTGGTGCAGTAAGGAAAGGGAATGTGAATGGTGGCTGCTGAATAACTGGCTGGAACAGGATTTGAGCATGCTCAATTATTTAGGTTAGGTTGCTCATCATCTGGAAAAAGGATGGACAGTTAGAAGAACAAAGATAAACATATGAAGTATTCAATATTTATTTTCAAAAGTTGGAGGGATGATAATTATGTCTACTTCAATGTTTTCTTTATCACCATGAACCTAAGTTACACTAACATCTGTGAAATACCACTGAGAAAGATTGGGTAAAGTTGAATGTTGTGAGGAAAGATTCATTTGCTAAAGAAGAAATACATGGGGAGATTCAATAGAAATATTTTGGACAGAATAGTGGGAAAGAGTGGCAAATGATGAGGTATATTATATCATTGAGTACAATACTTGCATCCTCTCAGGATAAAACCTTCACAATGGTGCAATATACCACACATCCAAAACCCCTGACTGGCTGTGCATTGTAATTTTGCTCTAAGTTCTATGGTTCTGTTGCAAAGATGCTTCTGCAATTCTTACACAGAATGATACTATTCTCCATTACAGATCCAGACTCATGTGCTAAGGAGCATTCTCCTACATAACATCAATGCTCATTCCTTGTATCTGAGTGAAAATCCATGGCAGTGTGATTGCATCTTCACACCAGACTTCCAGGTACATATTTTTTCCCATGTCCAACTACCTGCTCATAATCTCCCTTTTTTATGACTTCTGATTTTTTGTTTGATTCCAATCAGTTCTTCATAGCAGACTTTCAGAAAGTGCTACATGACAAGTTGGCCATTCGATGTGATTTGAGCAAGACTGACCCTAATGCTGGGAAGCAGGTGAGAGACTAGAGATATTGTTTGTACTGGTTTTGCTTCAGGTTATTCATTCAGTTGTATTTTTTGGGGAGTGCTATTTACCACCATTTTTTGGGATCAGGACTATAAAAGTGATTGCATTAGCAATGAGCACTTGTACCTTTCACAGATTGACTGTTATTCAATAAGAACCTATTAAATTAATTTTTAAATTACAAGATACACTGCTTTTGTACCAGGTAACTGCCGTCTACCAGCTGGTAGACAAACTTTTCTTTAATACAACCCAGCATGGATCAGCAAACACAGCAGATGTGACAGTGAGACATAGCACAGGTGAGGCTAGTCCCTAGCTGTCATCACATTCATGCCTACAGTATAGCAGACAACCAATTAAAGTGATATAGGGATGTACTATGACCCACAAAAATTTCTTTGTGCCTGCCAAGTGGTGTATTCATGAATAAACCTGGTATGCAGTTTTCTTTTTCCAACCCCAGCTGTTTCATTTTGGCTGATGAATGCAAGTTCATCTAAGTAGGCTGAGGGTTTGCAGTCAGTCCTAAACAGTAATAATGTGTTGATGCCATGCTTCTGTAGGAAGCAGTGCATGTCAAATGAATGGAAACTTTAAGATTTCTCCCTATTTGTCTACAGATAGCTCGGCTTCCACTGGAGGAGATCTGTGAGCCTGGTTGGGAGATCCATTATCTGGACATTCTCAATGGGGTCATGGCTTTTCTCATCATCATCATCCTCATCAAAGTCACCTATGACTGGTACTTCTATCGCAAGATGAACCGCATCCCCTGGCTGGCCAAGAGGATGCCGTGACCACATGAAACCAGTGTGCAAGTTTCTCCTAGTCATGGAAACCCAGGTGCCATTGCATCACTGCTTCACAATACTCATTGTATCCACTATTTTGTGTCTCTTGTTTCTATTATCTTTCACATCTTTGTGAATTTGATTTACCCTGACAATAAATGTCCCACAATTCAATTGCATTTTTTGTTTGGGTTTTCCCATGGGATCTTCCTCCTTGTTGCTTATTTTACAACTGTTCTATGGTTCATCTCATCCTCAGATTCCTTCAAGTTCCTCTTCCCAAGTTCTCTTTTTTTCGGTTATCAACATACAAGTGCAAAAATTTGGTATCAATACCTTTTGATGCTAATGTCAACTTGTGAGGTCTTCATTGATGCCATTCCCTCATGCATGAAAGTCATTCAGTTTGAAGTATGAGGTGAATTTCAGAAGATGCTGTTTCATCATGTTGTAGGTGTGGATGAAACATTTCTCATTCTTAGAAATGATGGACTCATCCTTTGGTTCGCTGCATTTATGTCTATATCTATCATCTTGTTCCTTCTTTTGACTGTTTGAGTGCGGCACACTTCATACTGCTTCTTAAAGAGGGGTGCATTTTTTGCTGGGGGAAGAGGATTTGACTAAATTTTTGTTTGCTCGTGAACTGCAGGCAGTGGTCCTTCTAGTGTAGTTAAAAAATGATTATTGTGGTTTTGCAGCTGTTCCCAAACTTCATTTTATTGCGCCTATTGCCCATTAATTAATGCTAGACTAATTTTTTCTTGGGGAGGATAGCTAGGAATAACTTCTCTTATGTAACGACCCTTTCCTTCAATGATGCTGAATGAAAGGACCGAAGTGGGGTGCAGAGTTAAGTCCCAAACTTATAGCCTATCTTGTGTCTATCAGGATAACCAGCCCTGCAATGCTTCTCAAAGGCAAAAATCTATAAATCGATTTCCATATGAAAATCATGCAAAACTCGTGGAAGTTTTTTTTTTTCCATCTCAATCTCTTGTCTCCAAAGTCTAACGCGACTCGCTGCTGTAAATTTAGATCCATTCCAGCTGAGAAGCTGCTGTGTCTGGGTTAGTTCCCAGTTAGAATTTTTCAACTGGATTGCTACTGGATTTGTTAGCTACTTCCTATGGGAACATTCTAATTGGGATATTCAATCGGAGATCAAACTAGAAGAGGGTGGAATTTTTGGCTGTTCCCCAGCTTGAATTGATCCGAATTTACAGCGATGGTCCAGCTGTAAGTTGTAATTGTTTTGAGATTAGCCTTTCTAGGCAAAGTAGCCTCAAGACGGCCTCTTCCCAATTTGTGATTTGTTTCATTTTCCCCCTTTATGGGATATTTATCGTGGCAGACGGTTGGGAACCGCTACTCTACAACACCGAACCATTCGGAAATTGGTGCGTAAATCTAATGCTAGTAGGAGAAGTAGTAATCCCGTATCGATTTTACTGCCATCATCATTATTTTGATTAATTTTGGGTGAGATTATTCTCGACGAGACATAATTAGGAAAGGCACATCCCCAGGGAAGGTGTCTGGAAATGGCGCTAAAACCCGGAGAGAAGCCTGCAGGAAATTCCCCTTCAAACATTATGTATCGTTAAGTATCTCAAACGTCTCTTTAAACAAAAATAAATCAATCAATAAATCCACGAGTGCTGAGGTGACTTGCATCCGAATCAGAAACCGAGTCATGATCGGCCGGTGAAGAGACCATCGACAACGCCTACTTCATCCCTTCTACTACAGGGTGCCCAGTAGAAAACCAAAGGATTGCAATTAGCACGCCTTTAACAACGAAATGATGTTTTCTATCAATAAGTATACATCTATATTTATGCTGCTTGATTGCGATTTGTTGTTTTCATAAATGAATGTAAATAATAAAATGTATATTTCTATTTCAGATTGGATTCATTAATACCCATGGCTCCATCATGGTTAAATCCTTTGTGAATAATCTTGAATAAATCCTTTGTTTTTCTATTGGGTACCCTGTATGTACGTATGCTGATCGAAAAGGAACGGATCTTTGGCTGCAGCTCAAATAATGCTCGTCGAAATTGTTGGCCACTCTGCAGGCGTCAACTATATTCACTTTGCGACTGATTCATGATTAAAATTTAAGTTGCCTTTTATTTAAGGAACTCTGTTGGTGATTCAAAGATATTGTCCTGTCACACAAAGTTGATTCATCATTATTTCTTGACGACAAATTCTTCTTAACATACATTCATGACACAAGATCCAGTCTTCCACGAGAGTCCAAATGTCTTATTGATTTCTTAATAACATTGGCCAAGAGTGTGATATATAAAACGTATATGGCAAAGATTAACTCAAATGACAACACTAATACTATTTCTCCCTTGAGTTCCTTCCAGTCAAAACTGAAGAATGCCATCAATGGAGATTACGCCAAATGGAAACAACGTGGAGACCTAGAGGGATTCAACACGGTATGGGGACCCATTGGAATTGCTGATGAAGATGGTACACTACAAATCCTCGGACTTTAGTCTTGCCTCCTCATCATTGAGAACAACAACTGAGTGGATAAGTGCACATCAAGAAAAAAGAAACAAAATTAACACAAACAAATGTGATCCTTCAATCTGTTTCTTACTGAAACCCTGTCAACTCAACCCATAAGACTTCTGTTGTGTCAAATGCAAACATTATCGTGTCATTGCAAACATTTTACAAACAGTGACTTCCGTTTTGTGAAATGACATGAATTATGTTATTAAAGTTCTTATGAAACCTCAAAGATATTGCCCTGAAAATGGTTCACTGAGACTCTCGAACTTTTGCAGCAGATGTCTGTGCTTACATCTGTTACAAAAGTTCGAGAGTCTCGATGAACGATTTTCAGAGCTTCATGTTTGCCATCTGCTCCAGCGTTGGCATTCCAGTAAAACCCCCCTAAAGTTACTATCGCAATTTCTTTGAATCACCGACAGAGTTCCTTAAATAAAGACAACTGAAATTTGTATCATGAGTCAGTCGCAAAGTGAATATAGTTGACGGCCGCAGAATGGCCAACAGTTTCGACGAGCATTGACGAGCTGCAGCCAAAGTTCCGTTCCTTTTTGGTCAGCCTACGTAATGATTATTTTTCCTGATGGCCAAGATTCATCTGCGGAGGGAAGTTATGAGTAGGCTGGGTCAGATTTGGCGTGGACGCTTCAGCCCATCTCATTTTCAAGACACCTACCACCTCTCAGCCTTGCGTCGTGGCCACTACTCAGCTGCTCAATAACTGCGTAAACCACTCCCAGGTAGCCAAATCGATAAGGGCCAGTTATGGCCCTAATACGGCATACTTGGCGAATCTCTGGCATTGGCATCCACATTTGGGCCATTCATGGGAAAAGTCTGGCAACCCGAAGTACATCACTACTTCTGGCAGCCTCGTGCCTCCCGCTCAAGGGCCATACTCCTAAGGCCCTAATATGGGCAACCCATATTAGGGCCATGCAAATTTGCCACTGTGAAACCTGATTGAAAATAAAATTTTACCTCATATTCATCTGAGATGAGCGAAGACGAATTGTCTTTAAAAAAATAAAGATACTTTCCGAAATTCCACACCTTTTTTGTTTTTGGCATCGGGAAGATTAAATGTTAGCCTCGTACTTTTTCATTTGCCATAGGCTGTCTCGTCAGGAGTCGTCTCATCTC